TGCAGGTCATGAGGCAGACCGTGCAGGTCATGAGGCACACCGTGCAGGTCATGAGGCAGACCATGCAGGTCATGAGGCAGACCATGCAGGTCATGAAGAGTTCCCACATACTGGACATTCATGATGATCTCTGATTGTATATCGGAATTTTATATTTTGTTTTAATTGTTGCTTGGAGGCAAAAGAACTTTCACATTCACAACATTGGTGCGCATCAGAAGACGAATGTTTCATGTTGATATGTTGCTGTAGCTGCGCTTTAGTCCCGTAAGCTCTGCCACATTCACAACATTTGTAAGGCTAATGTAGCGCATGTCTTATCATTGTGCGTTCATCAAGACAATGTTTTTTAACACATGAATATTCACATTCCATACATTTGTATGGCTTTTCCGCTGAATGTTTGGACATACAATGTTGATGCAGGAGCTACTTTGTCACAAACGAGGCGTCACATTTTTAACATTTATGCGGCTTTTCCTTCAAATGTTTAGAGAGAACATGCGCTTGTAGCCACTACTTGTTCGAACATGAGTACGCACATTTGGAACATTCAGTATGTTTGAGTGGCAGTTTCGTGAGTCCTGCTCCATCGTCAGTTCATAGAATCTAGAATTCATATATAAAGTCACAAATTAATAAAATTGAAAGCACAGAACGTAATCAAAAACCTGAATTTACAAATAATAGACAGAGCACAAAATAACTATCTATTCACAATTTCAAGGGGATAAGAGCTAACAGTTGAATTCAAACTGGGACTAAGTTTAAAAATGTTCAAATATACTAAAATACATTGTGCATTCAAAATTTGAAAATACACAGTATACATAACACATTATACTGAGCGTGTGTATAGTTTGTATACGAAGCGTGAGAGTTGACATCTTGCCCCTGAAAGTTTGTAGGCTGATTGTAAAACAAAGGCCGCTACCTGCGCTGCTTGCCACAAACAATTCTAAGCTATAGGCTCAAGCGTACAAAGAATATCGTCCAAGAGACGAACAAATTGTGTAAGTTGAGCGCATGTCTTCGGCATACACGTGAGACTTAACTAAGTTCCGCTGGTAACAAATCGATGTACCAGCTTGGAAATATCCAAGTTGCTCTCATGAGATCTGTTAGTGAGGTAGCAAAAAGATAATCGTGCTGAACTACGAACATCCGTTGAGGATGAAAATGTTGAAATAGCGATCACATTCAGAAATAAACTGTAGAAAATGCAACTATATCCTCTCATTGACCTCCGAGAAATTCTTAATTGTTATTATCGTAATTACTTATTATATGGTTTGAGAAAAAGGTTTGAAGCATATTGATGAACGTGCATTAAACATTTACTATATTTTTTAATTATTTGTCCTATTCCAATTTAAACCAAATTGAAAGCTTGTGAGTAATTTTCAATTATCCAACCAGAAAGCTGTACTCATTCCACCCAGTGAAGCGTAACTAAAAGCTCAGTCTTCAGGGAATTCGGCCTCACAAGCGAGTTAAAATATCTTCAAATTGTATACAGAATTTTTTGCCCAGTTTTGTGCCCAGTGAAACACACGCGCGCTCTTTGTCATGGGATGTTCGAGTCTCTTCACGCAAATCAGGCGCGTCAGGTCAACCTGGTGTCGGGACAAAAAAATTAACCTCTGGAGCTTAATATTTGACCGTAAATAGGTGCAGTTTAGCTATGGGCAACTTTCTCCGTTGTAATGCTTTGTTCTTGGCAGGTAATACACCTGCGAGATGCGAACATACACGTTTTTTTTCTTTGGACTTTATTACGTTGATTTGCCAGGGAAAACGTATAACCCAAAACAACATTGATAAGGACATCAATGAGCCGCAACCATCAGGTAAGATGTAATCAAATTATGCATTTCTTTTCATATGAGAAGGAAGACAATGCGGCAAAGTAACCGAACGAATAATGTCAAGATAAATTCATGTTTCAACCTTAATTATATTTAAAAAACAAAACTAGACGCCAGCAATTACGCCTCGGATGATTCGAGAAGATGAAACGTTTCTAGCAGCAGTTGAAATGCCCGGATCAGAATTTGTATTCAGAATTTATACTGCGTAAAAATCTGAAAATTAGTTACTATTCTGGATATTTCTCATAAGGCTTTAACTAATGTCAGAGCATTAGATATTTTCCGACGTGACGCATGAGTTAATAGTTTGGTTTAAAATGTTAGTCTTATTGAGATAAAAATCTATGATAATTAAACCGCGAGTAATCAGAGAAACTTTTAGTGAATTTTAAGAACCTTCAAGTCCATCAATATCACGAACGAAATTCGCAAGGCAAAAAAAATTATTCGATACAATTTTTCTTTGTCACGTGGTATCTCATCAGCCACGTGCGTGGATAGGCCTTCGTGGACTGGAGCTCAGGGTATATAAAGGTAGGGGCAGGGCACAACCGCCAGTGGCAGTCGAGTTGTCAGTGTGTGCGTACGAAGTTCTAACGCTCCTTTACTCCACCAAGATGGGCAGAAACCAGACGGGCAAAAAGACCAAGAAGTCTGGTAACTGGGTGAGTTTTGATCGCTGACAATATTTTATTATATATTAGAAAAAGCTTACAAAATCGTGTTCTGCAAGAGAAAATCATTTATTAAATTTACAGGTAACTGTCTTTACTTCGAAGTTGTGATCATTTGAACCGAGCCATTAAATTATCATTTGAACCGAGCCAATCTCTGGATAATTTGAACCGATGTTGGAAGGAATTTATACAATCGAATTTTATTTAATAATTTATTTTTAAATAATGAACTCATCAACACGAAAATATTGCAAGAACAGGCAACGAAGTTTTCAAAAAGTATTATGTATTGTTCTTATTGTATTGTTTTACATTAAAAAGCAAGCTAACAGCCAATCGTTAGGTCACAATTCAATTTGCTTCTATAATAGCAGCAAACAATAATAATGTTGCAAGCGTGGTGTAGTTCAGCGCTGCAGGCGTGGTCTCCTCAGTGCTAATGTACAATGTTGATACTGTATGATGATTCAGTGACTGAAGAATTGAATTCTAGAAATTTAGAGGAAGTCAGTGAGAGGAGTAGGAAGTTGGACGGAAGAAGACAGCCAGAATAGCTTCAGGTTTTACTGCGTTTGAGAGAAGATGTAAGACTTAAATAATGATGGCACAATCCTAACAGTATGTGACAAACTGCCAGCTCAAATTTCACGATCAATATGCTCCTGATTAAAATTATGATAATAAAATAAAGATTTGATCTAATATCATATAAATTTAATATAGCCATATTCCACATCAGGTAAACCAGAGGTCCCCACATGACCATCACCGATATTGATGAAATTTCACACATATATCATAATTTGTTCATATTTCAATCCGACTGCCGAAATTTCAACTCAAAGTCTGGAAAATTTTGAAATAAGGGACCCTTATTACAGGAAAATTTGCAAACCTC